TTTTGCGGCCGCCTCTGCCCGCGTCGACTGCGCTGCGCGCACAATCAGCAACTCGGCATCTTGTTCGCTGTCCCTTTGTGCGCCTTTCGCCTGAATTGCATTAAGCAGCGTCCACGGTGCACTGCAAGAAAATACTGAGTTCATATTTAATTCGCTAAATTTCCACTAAATTGACATTCAGCTTAAAAATCAATACAACTTTCAAGATTGTTCAAGAGTACAGCTGAGTTATAAAAATTAAAGCTGTCAAAAGGTTGGCATTCAGCCTAAAAATCAATCCAACACTTTAATCCAACTTTCAAGATTGCTAAGTTATAAAAATTAAAGTTAGCTAAATCCGGAGCTGTCAGCCCTTTTAAAACAAAAGCAGTTGATATCGGGTTTCGATTATCACGTAGAATAAACATAGAACCTTCACAGAACATTCTTTTTTTTTGATTCTAGTGCTGTGTACTAGTCGTCAGTTTTTTCGAGCAGTGCAGGGACGCTGGTAGCGGCGACGCAGGCCATTCCAACCTTGTTCTGCCACAGCGAAAGACATCGCTCGGCTGGAATCAACGGCTCGCCTGCCACGAAACCCTCGAAACCCACTCCCCACTCCTCCGTAATCCGCCCACTCCCATTGCTCATTTTTAATGTGCAATTCCGTATGTACAGCTCGTAGCCATGGCCACCATTCCGCTGGCAACGGGTGTGTGTGTGTGTTTGCATAGCAGCTTGGTTGCTAGTTGGGCATGTGCCACCTCCAGCTCCCAGCCGCCAGCTCCGAGTTCCGATCCCCAGCCCAACTTCGCCAGATCACAGCCTAGCCTTATGACCAAACGAGTGCAGCTCCGTTTATCGGCCGGCCTAACCTTGTTAGGATTGTAAAATGTAAACCGAAGGCGTTGCCACGGACTCAGTGCTCAACTCGGACCTACACAGGCCAAACAAATGTACGATCTCTCTGAGCCAAATTAAGCAATAATTGTGCCCGCCATAATAGTTTTGAAGTTTGGGATAGAGCTCTTTTTCTAAGTGTAGCCTAGCTCTAGCTCCTACCTGGGCATGCAGCTGAATTTCGCTCGACTGGCACACGCTCAAGATGCCTCCATCCGCGTCCGCGTCTTGGTCCCCAACCACGGTCATCGTTAATCGAAAACGGGCTGCGCCGTCGCCCTGCGGTTACGAGTGTCGCCAGGCCAAAGCCAAAGCGAGCCGCAGATTGAGTGGAGGATGGGGCTGCAGCAGGGAAGGAAGGGAAGTGCTTTTGGGGCATCCACGAAGGGGCCTTTTAGCCTGGCCAACAACTGTGCGCGTGCGCAGAACCGCCAACCTGGCAATGTGTTCATTTCGGTACCATATTTCGTTCGGTGGTGCAGAAATTATGCCCGGTAGTCATGCAGCTCCAGCAACTCATGAAGCCATACACTGGGAAAGAAACCTGAATGCTCATTTTAATAACTCAGCATTTAAAGAGTTGTTTTGTGTTATCAGCAATCAAGTCCCTGCTGGATAAGAAATTCAAGTTTTTTCTGCATAAAAATTTTACCAAATTAACATTAATTATATAGGATGGAAGCATATATTGGAAGCATATATTATATTGAATAACTTTCATCGAAAATTACATTAACACTTTTTTTCCTTGTGCTTTCGCTAATCGCGAGGAGGTCGAAATTAAAGCGAGTATTTGACTGATGGACTGACGCAGTCTCTGTGGCCAAAGTGAGTGACTAGTTGACTGCCAGACACGCGGCTTGATTGGACGCCTCGTCCACGTCCACGTCCACGTCGGCGTCCAGACTCGGATTCAGATTCGGATCCACGTCCAAGTCCACAACCGCACTCGCCTCAATGTCCGCGGAAATGGGGAACGGGAATGGGTGGGCTTACGTTTGGACCCGTCTACGAAAATCGGATTCGGCACTGAGTACTGCACACTGGGCTTAGAATTGGAGGCAAATCAGGCACACCAAACGACCGACACCCAAGCGAGACGCAGCGGCCACACATTCGTCACTGACTGTTGGGCCACAGTTGCAGTCAAAATAATAGCACTTTCAGATATTTTATTAATTATCTTCTTATTTTTTTTTAATATATTTCTACATTCCAAATAATACTGTTCTTGTTTCAAGACTAAATATTTCTAGCCATTTAAATTACAACGCATCACCATTGTATTTCAACCTAACTTGCCAACTATTCCTTCCTCCTATCTTACATGTATACAAGCTTTCAAGACTACTCACGTGCGGTCCTAAAACTTTGCCCCAAGGTGTAGTGCACATCCATCCATGTAAACATGCACTATTCGCATTCGATTTTGATGCGTATTGATGGCTGCCCAACCAACGTGACTGACGCTAAGCAGCTCCGAGATTAATGGTTCCAAATTAGTCAGTGTCACTTATTGGAACGTTGAGCTCCCCCCTCCGACATTTTGAACGTGGAAAATGAACAGGAAGAAGGGGAAGTCCACAGCACTAGAAGCAGCTTAAGCGGATTCATTAGGACCAACCGCTGAAGTCAAAATAAAAGTCAATTACAATTCATCACAATGAGTTCGTACAATTGAAGGTAACAGATCAGAGCGGAGAAAAGTTCGAAAACAGAGAGCAAAATAAAAATTAATTTCGACATTGTGTTTACAATATCATCGATCAATAACTGTCAACACAGCGGCTTGATTTTTTGAGGCAGTGTTGCCCTATGCGAAGGGTATATGAGTTCGGATAGGCAGGTAAAGGCACCAAAATGTACGAAATGAAAACGTTCCTTTTTTGTATAGGCATTTAGGTAAACATTTTGAGAATCGCAGAGAAGGGCGCATTGTCATAATTCTTAATTCTCAATTGAGCACAAGAGCACAACGATTTCGACTCGAGCCCGCCTTTGATTTCGCTGCACCCATAATGTAATACAAATTACATTCCTTGTATTATTTCTTTACCGATTTCTGGTGGTTTTCGATTTTAGATTGCGGGCGATGAGAGTGGAGATGCGAGAAACTGGAGACCACCTGGCGTCTGCAGACCCCGCTAATTGCATTGTGGGTACGCAGGGCACAAAGGAAAGTTTCCAGGTGATGATATCAGCATGATCAAGCACTTAAGTAAGTACAAATGATTCCCCCTTGCCCTTCAACCCCCATTTAGTTGGATAGTATGGAAAAGTTTACAAATTGTTGATTCAGCGCGGCATGAAATCGGCTTGGAACTTTGTACAACTTTAATTAACCGATTTCTGCCGACACAGCGCAGGAATGGTGGTAAAGTCATAGAAATAAGTTAAATTACACTTAATCCGATTAAAGTTCAGCTCGCTTTCGGCAAAACGATTCGATTTGTCTCGTTTGGAAGGGCCAAGACCGCCGTTGACCGCTCGATCGTATGGCGGCAGATGGTTCCACTCGCAAAGTTCATTAAAAGTGGCCAAGTTAATGCGCTGGGCAAACAACGGACATAAAACTGGAAACCCCGATACGAAACTCAGGCCTGAACTCGTTCCACGCATACTTGGGCGGTGATTTTTCCCAAAACCTAATTTTCAATTTACCCAAACAATTAACAGCAAATTTTATTGGCTTTTAAGCCAGTCAAACACTCGAAACAGTGAGCGCATCGTAAAACCGAAAATATGTATCTCACAGAATGCCGCTATTGATCCGGTATGTTTGCACAGGCCTGAAGATTTGTTTGCTTTTCTATACTTCCAAAAGTACGTGTGTATCTTTTAATTAACAGATCCCCGAATGGGATCTATAAAACAGTTGTAACCGAATCCGCTCTACCTATTTGATTTGTTTGATTGGCAAATGGCATGGATATCGCTTGGGTTCTTCTTGGGTTCGCTTCTTTCTCTGCTTTGCATTCCCAACATGGCTTCATCTGTAAATCTCTCGATGGGCAAAGTAGGTGCCAGCTAGCATGTTGTTTTGCATGTCGAAATCAGCTCCTATCCTACAGGCTGCTCCATGCTGCTCCTTGCTGCTCCATGCTGCTCCACGTGGGCTCCAGTCGCGGCCTAGCCACAACGTGCCATAAATTTATGACACTACTAAAAATAGTAGTGGTAAGTGGTAGTCATGGAGTGCACAGGCCGGAGTATCTGGGCATCTTCGTGCTGTTAAGGCAACTCTTACATTATGTTGCCTTTGTTTCCAGTGCGCATTACATGGGGAAGGACGAGAATTATATGCAAGTGAAATGCCATTTAAAAGCAGATAAATAAACTTAATGCGAACCAGCGCCGCAGGAAAGGATGAAAAGTGTCATTTCTGCGGATATTTATGTCGTTTATGGGGGCATTCCGTAAAGTCCAGTGAGGAGTATCCTGTGGCGCAGATGGGAGCAGAACCCGCCTCCGCCTCCGCATCACAACTAACTTGGCCTACTCTATCATTAGGCCCAGCTGAGAACCGTTAAGCCACAATCTACCTGTGACCCCAAATTGGCCCTGCGTGCCACAAAACAGCGTCTGAACATCAGATCTTAGCCTTAAACGCTGCGTTCGCTCTGCGAAGCGCAAAGGAAGCTATAAATAACAATTAAATGTATTATTAAACTAATTCGAAAATGCAGCTTCAAGAGGACGAAAGGCAGTCAGTCATGCGATCTCAAAAGCTGCCACATAAATTTTGGTAGCCCCGCTTTTTAGCGAACTCGGCCGGCTAATTTACATTTCGCTGTTGTGTGCGGGGCAAAAGTAAAAGTACTCAAGACGTCCAGCGTCGTTTCTAAAAAATTGTGCCCCACGGCCAGAAGGCCCCGTCATCCTGGGACCAATCAATTATGGAATCGGTCAATGATCAGCATGGAGCTGCCGACTCCCGCCTGCACGCAATGGCCCAAAGGAGTCAACATCGATGGTCCAGTGGTCCCTCGCTGGCCAGTGGACCATGGTCGCGAAAGTTCCAACAACTTACCCATAATGACATCAATTAGGCGCCTTAAATGAATACAAGGGAATATCGATCCTACTGCCGCCTACAAAATATTAAACTAAAACCGAAATCATACTGCGGTACCTTAGTGTTTAAGGTTTATTTTGGCGCTCTGCTTTAAAGGGCCAGCAAAAATTTAACGCTTTTCTCAATGAAAGGCTTTACGTAGTGAACATCTGTATAGACGCCGGGATAGCGCCTGCTGGCACATCCGATCCCAAAAGACACAATGCCGCAGACTTGCTTCTTGTAAACCAAAGGACCTCCCGAATCGTAGGTGCAAGCGTCCTTTTTTCCCAAAACTGAAGCGCAAAACATGCTATCCGATATGGCAACTGCGTGGAAGGAGTGACATTTTCAGCAGATTTTTACATATTTTCTACTTAATGAAGTCCAGCAAGTACTTTCACTGCCAGCTTTCTCACCTGTGTCCCGATAGACGTCGCGGCAACCTCTCTTCTCAATCACAGGCACTAATACCGTTCGCAGCATGTGGTTGGGACCATCGCTGTCCGGATGGGTCATGCCCCAGCCGGAAACGACCAGGATCTTTCCAGGCGTCAAGGGCGTAGTGCACAAGGATAGAGTTTTGATATTTCTACCCACCATGGGCCGTTTCAGCAGCATCACAGCCACGTCCATGTTCATGGTGGCCATTTTAAACTGGGCCGACTTGATGATGCGCCTAACTTGACGGCGAGTGCCATCGTCGCTAAGTCTGGAGATGCCGCCATCCACACTCCAGGCCTCAGTTAGTCCTCGGCCTTCAAAACAGTGCGCCGCCGTCAGAACAATTAGTTCGTGGATTAGAGTGCCGCCACAGATGAAGTTATTGTGGTACCGAATTGCCATTAGGTAGCCGCCCAGTTTCTCGTTGGTGGTCACTCGGCCGCCAATGACGCGGGTTTGATGAGCCACAGGCAGCGCTATTTTGGCCAACTTCTGCAAGTCAATGGTCTCGTTGTACTGAAGGGCATAATGCTTCCTTGCAGCGCCAATCAGCAGAAGGAGAATCAGAAGACGTTGCATGGCCAGCGCCGAATGGCTGCCAACAGCCGTTTCGTAGCTGACCGTACAAAACTAATTGAGGTGTCACCTAATTTGATTAGAACTACATTATATAAATTGACGGCAACAACGCGATGCTCTTCTCCAAGTGAGTTAGCGCACCCCCTCTCCGTTTGTGAGCCAACTTATAAGCTTCTGCGTAGCTGTCAGAAAAAACACTTCATAATGAACATAAAATACATATTTTTAAAATTATTCGTTTTGTGCTGAGCATGTGTTTCAGGCCACGCCTCGGTCTAAGAAGAATCACGAGACAAGTTCAAAAATGGCTAACCCGTCAACAATATCCAGTGAGTACGGCCTCAGTTGTGGTCCAATATCACGAGGAACCAGACAAATCGGAAGGTGACGGAAAACTTTACCGTGCCCTGACCCTGTCGAATGGACTACGAGCCATGCTAATATCGGATCCCTATGTGGATGAGCCGTCAATCCATCGGGCTTCCAGCGAAAGTTTGGGTTCCTCCACCGAGCATTTTCAAGGAAAGTTGGCGGCATGTGCGGTACTTGTTGGCGTGGGATCATTCAGCGAACCGCGACAATATCAGGGATTAGCGCACTTTGTGGAGCATATGATATTTATGGGCTCGGAGAAATTCCCCGTGGAGAATGAATTCGATGCGTTTGTGACTAAAAGCGGAGGTTTCAGTAATGCGCATACTGAAAATGAAGACACCTGCTTCTACTTTGAGGTGGATGAGTCTCACCTGGATAGGAGCATGGATCTATTTATGAACCTGATAAAGGCTCCGCTCATGCTGCCCGATGCCATGAGCCGCGAACGCTCCGCCGTCCAGTCGGAGTTCGAGCAGACCTACATGAGAGATGAGGTGCGCAGAGACCAGATCCTTGCGAGCTTGGCCAGTGAGGGGTATCCACATGGCACATTCAGTTGGGGTAATTTTAAGACCCTTCAGGAGGGCGTTGATGATGGCGAGCTGCACAGGGAGCTTCACAAGTTTTGCCGAGATCACTACGGCTCCAACCGAATGGTAGTTGCACTTCAGGCTCAGCTTTCGCTGGATGAGTTGGAGGAATTGCTTGTTCGCCACTGTGCGGATATTCCTAATAGCCAGCAGAATTCTATTGACGTTTCCCAGTTTCAATACCACACAGCCTTTCGAGAGCAATTCTACAAGGAGTTGTTCCTGGTTCAGCCGGTTGAAGACGTGTGCAAGCTGGAGCTAACTTGGGTATTACCCCCAATGAAGAACTTCTATCGCAGCAAGCCGGATATTTTTATTTCCCAACTCATTGGTTACGAGGGAGTTGGAAGTCTATGTTCCTACCTACGCCATCGTCTCTGGTGCATTAGCGTTATGGCCGGAGTCGGTGGAAGTAGCTTCGACTCCAACTCCATATACTCCTTGTTCAATATATGTATATATCTGACGGACGATGGCTTCGACCACCTGGACGATGTGCTGGAAGCCACATTTGCGTGGATTAAGCTTCTAATTAATAGCGACCAACTGGAAGCTTCCTACAGGGAATTTCAGCAAATTGAAAACAATAATTTTCGATTTCAAATCGAGCTGCCCTCCATTGACAATGTGCAAAGCATTGTGGAGAGCTTCAACTACCTGCCATCGAAAGATGTACTCACAGGACCTCAGCTATACTTTCAGTACGAGGAGTCAGCTGTTGAGCTGCTCAGACAGCATATAAATAAATTTAATTTTAATATAATGATCTCATCTTATATGCCATATGAAGAGAATGAATACGACCAGAAGGAGCCTTGGTTTGGAACTCAATTCAAAACCATCTCTATGCCCTTAAAGTGGCAAACTATGTGGGAACAGCCAGCGACCTTAAAAGAGTTGCATTATCCGCAACCCAATCCCTTTGTGACCACGGATTTTAAAATACATTGGATAGAATCAGGAAAACCGCATATTTCCAGAAGTCCGAAGGAGCTAATCAAAAATGACTTATGCGAACTGTGGTTTCGCCAGGATAACATTTTCAAACTTCCAGATGGGTATATAAACCTGTATTTCATCACTCCTCTAGTTCGTGAAAACGTCAAGCAATATATGCTGGGAGTACTTTTCACCTATTTAGTGGAATTCAGAATGGCCGAGCAATTATACCCAGCATTGGAGGCAGGTCTAACTTATGGCCTATACATCGGTGATAAAGGATTGGTTATGCGTGTCAGTGGCTACAATGAGAAGCTTCCCCTCTTGGTGGAAATAATATTGAACATGATGAAAACTATAGAGCTTGATGCAGCCCAGGTAAATGCATTTAAGGATCTCAAGAAGCGACAAATTTATAATGCTCTAATAAACGGGAAAACTCTTAATCTTGACTTGCGACTTAGCATTTTGGAAAACAAACGTTTCAGCATGATTTCCAAATACGAAGCCGTTGATGATATAACCATAGAGGACATAAAATCCTTCAAAGATAACTTTCATAAAAAAATGTTTGTAAAAGGCTTAGTACAGGGAAATTTCACGGAAGCCCAAGCCACAGAGTTAATGCAAAAGATTCTTTTCACCTATGAAAGTGAAAGTGTAGACAATTTATCGGCCTTGGACAACCACTTACTGCAAATCCCATTGGGATCCCACTTCCTAAGAGCTAAATCGCTTAATGAGGATGATTCGAATACAATCATAACCAACTACTACCAAATAGGACCGAGTGATCTGAAGCTGGAATGCATCATGGATCTGGTGGAATTGATTGTTGAGGAGCCGTTCTTCAACCAACTAAGGACCCAAGAGCAATTGGGCTATAGCTTGGGAATTCATCAGCGAATTGGCTATGGTGTGCTGGCCTTTCTTATCACAATAAATACCCAGGAAACCAAACATCGGGCCGATTACGTGGAGCAACGTATTGAAGCCTTTCGGTCTCGAATGGCTGACCTAGTCTTACAGATGAGTGATACAGAGTTTTTGAACATACGGGAAACTCTAATTAGTGGAAAAAAGCTGGGCGACACAAGTTTGGATGAGGAGGTTTTGAGGAACTGGAGTGAAATTGTCAGCAGAGAATACTTTTTTAATCGCATAGAAATGCAGATACAAACGCTAAGCAATCTATCAAAAGACGATGTCTTGAACTTCCTTTATGATTATGATAAAAACAATCTGAGAAAACTCTCTGTTCAAGTGGTGGGAAACCATACTCAAACAGCAGATTCGACCGCCCAAGCCAGTCGTTCCGGATCTCTGAGTAACTTGTTAGACGATGTACAGGACGACATTGCAAATGAACTAGTTTCAGCTAAGCCCATGACCGATAAGATCAGACTTGAGTTTTTGGGGGAGAGCGATGACCCTTCAAGCATTAAGGACATTTATGCCTTTAAGAAGTCGCTATATGTCTTTCCGCTGTTCAACACCAATCCCAATCTCGCAAAGAAATCATAGAATTATAACGTGCATAAAATCCACTTCGATCAGCAAAGCTTAAAAGACTCAGCATGTTCTGCGTATAAAATTGCTTTTAAAAATGTATAGTATATGCGAGTATGGCATCTTACCAGTAAAGTCTTACCGGTCAAAACATGAAGTATTCCTAGCTGGATATGCCTATAAATTACCGAGACTAATTCGATAGACCGATACCAAATGATAGACCACATTATATGTATTTTTCAAAGTATTTCTGATTGAAGAAAGCGTTTATTCATCGCCTGGCTAGCAACGCCTTAATGCTTTTCTCGATGAAAGGCTTCACGTACAGAACATCGGTGTAGACGCCAGGATAACGTTTGCTAGCACATCCAATGCCAAAGGACACTATACCACAAACCTGCTTTTTGAACACCATCGGTCCACCCGAGTCAAAGGTGCACGCATCCTTATTTCCCAGCACTGCAGCACATATCATACTATCTGTTATTTTCGCTGTGAAAGGATGCAGTATGTAATAAAGTATAGTTTAGTATGGTAAAAAGGGGAATTTTAACTTACCCATGGGCTGGTAGGCAGCGCGACAGTTCTTTCTGTGAATAATGGGCACTGTCACCGTACGCAGCAGGGATTGGGGTCCACGTCCCCGGGCATTGGTCATGCCCCAACCGGAGACCACCAGTTCCACGCCCGGCTTAAGGCCCACCGAGCACAAGCTCAGTTTGCCGATGTTCTTGCCCGTCAGGGGAGTTTTCAGCAGTATCACCGCCACATCCATATTCATGTCGTCCTCGCGAAACTGTTCGGACAAGATAAAGTCCTTAACATGCCGGCGTATACCTTTTTGATTGAGAGTCGACATGCCGCCAGCCACAATCCACTCGCTTGCCTGCATTCGACCCAGAAAGCAGTGAGCCGCCGTCAGGACGATGTTATCCTTGAGCAGTGTGCCACCACAAACAAATTCGTTTTCATAGAACAGTGCTGTTAGGTATCCTCCCAACTTGGTATTCGTGGTCACTTGGCCGCCAACAACGCGAGTCTCCTGCGGCGAAGGCAGCACTATCTTGGCCAGCTGCGACACATAGAACGTGTGATTTTGGCCCGGCTGACCACTTAGAGCCGGTAGGGAAAGCACAATTTTATCCTGTTCCTGACCATATACATGGACCGAAATTAGAGTGCAAGCCAGCACGCAGCAAACCAGACGACATGTCATTGTTCACAGGGAGTGGAGTGGAATACACTTGGCCAGTAAGTCTGCCACCCAAGGCAGTGCATAAGTGTGGCGAATGCAGCTAATCCGAGACAAATAGCACTTATCTGCGACACAGTCCAATAAGTATCAGATGTAATCTCATTCCTTAATCTTGAAAATTTAATCATCGCTTTGCCAGCAACACCTTAATGCTCTGCTCGATAAAGGGCTTCACATACATAATGTCCGTGTAGACACCGTAGTACCGCTTACTGGCACATCCTATTCCAAAGGACACGATGCCACACACTTGATTCTTGTACACCAAAGGACCGCCGGAGTCGAAGGTGCATGCATCTTTTTTGCCCAGCACTCCGGCGCAAAACATGCTGTCCGTCAATTGAACTGAAAATAAAGTCAGAGGTAGTGCCGGCTAAATACCTTTCATAAATACCATATCAAATATATCCCAATCTAAAGCTACAGAGTTACCAACTCACCCGTCGGCAGATAGGAAGCACGACATATTTTCTTATCCACGATGGGCACTGTCACCGTACGCAGTAGTTTCTGGGGGCCAAACTCGTTGGGATTGGTTAGACCCCAGCCGGAAACCCGGAGCTCCGTGCCTGGCACTAGGTGTTTTTTGCAGAGTACTAGCTTGCCGAGTGTTCTGTGCCTCATGGGTTTCTTCAGCAGTAGTATGGCCACATCCATGTTCATGTCGTCCTCCCGAAACTGGGCCGACTTGATGACTTCCTTAACCTCGCGCTGGATGCCTCTGTCATTGAGCTTGGAGGCGCTGCCGACGGCCAACCAGCTGCTGATCTTCACCCGGCCCAGAAAGCAGTGCGCCGCCGTCAGGACGATTAGCTCATGGAGCAGGCTGCCGCCGCAAATGAACGCCTCTTCGTAGCGCAGTGCGATTAGATAGCCACCCAGCCTTGCATTCGTAGTGACCTCACCACCGACGACACGGCTCTGGAAGCCAGGCGATTGCACTGCCGCCGCCAACTTCCTCACATCGATGGTCTGGTTGAGGTCCTGGCCAAGGACTGCCGTGCTGGTTGGAGGGGCGGCCAGCAAGCAGAGGAGCAGTAGGCGCTGCATTGCAGACGAGGGGTGGAGAGCCAAACAGCAGACTGTTTCCAAGCCACTACTCTATCAAAGCGTTGAGAAACAACTTAAGCCAAGCCAATGGAAACAATTCAGACTTCGTTACGGCAATTGAGTTTAATTGCTGGTAATTGGAAAGTGTGCACTGTGGTCTGTGTCATTTGAGCAGCGTTCGCGGACCTAGGAGAAGCTCAGGGGTCTGATCTCCTGCAGGAGCTGGCGCAGATAGTACATCTGGTTGGCATCGCGATTGCGCATATCCGTGGCATGTGGGTACATGGAGTTGATCAGCTGGTGCAGATCCGAGTAAGTCTGTGGGGTAAGGATATTAAACACCTTATGCTACAACACTATTTACACTCGGCGCTTGCCCCAATATTACGCCAGGTGCTTTTATAATGCAGCTTTATCACTTTGGTATCGTCGGAACAGAGCTCCGAAACTTCCACGAAGCTCGCGACCTCGGGCGTCACCCGGACAGTGACCTCCGATCCATCGTGCAGATCCCTGGTATTTCGTAGACAAAGCACGAGATCCCGATCCTTCGCCAGACGATTCCACTGGCTACGGCTGAACTTCATCAGCTTGATGTGCACGGCGATGACATCGTAGACATGCAACTCTGCCGCCAGGTGCTTCTGCGAGAAGTAGCCCTGATCTATGTAGAAACAGGCGTCGAGCTCCGCAAACACGTTCAGGTTCATGTCCTGAAGGCGCTGCAATGGGACGTAAAAGGGAAATGAATTTCAGAAGATGCTCTGGAGATCAAAAGATCACTTGCTACACCTTGCGAAGCTCGACGAAGTCCGAGATGGGCTGATCGATATCGATATATTTGAATGGTCTGGCAATGTACTCCTTAGGTACATCTATCGCATGGCACCGGATGCCATCGCTGCTGACGAAGAAGACAACTCGCACATGGTAGGTGTCCAAGGTTAGGATTATCTCGTCGGGACTGCAAGGCAAACACAAAGTAGTATAATAATGCTAGACTCGTAATCCCCTACTTCTGCTCGTTCTTCTCCAACTCCCAGTGGCGGAAGGGGAAGTGCGCGTATCGTGGATAGGCGAATCCGAAATATCCCAGTCGATCTGTCTTCACCATAACCACCTTGCTCTGCCTATTAAAACTTGACTCCAGGATGAACTCGGTAGTCCAGTGGGCGACGTTAATGGGTTCCGAACTTTGAGGTAAAATACTCGAGGGCAGTCGACTATCTTTTCGTTCAACAGTTTCGCCGGCTTCACTGAATTCGTATTCTATTTCCATCGGTCGAGATATGCTCTGCGTGCTACCCTCTAATCCCAATTGTCTGATGGACCGTCTTCCGAAATAGCTCTGTCGATGAGATCGAGTCGCAGGAAGGGGATGCTCAAAAGTTTTCCTGCTCATTCTGACGGCGTAGGTGTTTTGTTCCACTATTCTTTTCGGGGCATCCAAGTACTTGTCCTTAATGCCTTCCAATGTTCTTACAAGGCCAATCATGGTATCATCCTCATTCAAGCTATCCATGCGGTCAGTTTCCTCATGCAAGTCGCTCATTAAAGGAAACTTCGGAAACATGCGTTCTGGATTGGACTGGTCTTCGTAATTGAAACAGAACTCCTCCATTTGTGAAGATGCCAGTGATTCGGTCACTCGCCTTTTGTAAAGTTGAGTACCCGGAGTTTTTTTCAAGGCCTGCGCTTCCAACCTATCATCCTTGAAGTCCCGCGGGAAATTCAGCGAGGATATTATCCTGGGCAAGCATTGATCCTGCAGAAGGCGTAGATTTTTTCTCGATATTGGCCCTTCCAGCAGCTTAAAGTTTTTGAACCCATTTTCATGTTGCATCTGCCCCGTTTCCATCGCACTCTGCCGCACAATTGCCAAAGCCGAGGGGCGATAGATATTGGTGGAATTTTCTCTAGCCGGCTGGTGGTACGTCGGCTTTTCACTTTCCGATGGCTTTTCTTCTGCCGTACCTACGGGCCCTGAAGTGGAGGCCACTCTGTGTGCCGATTCGTTTTCCTTTCGGGAAGCCTTTCGCACATATTTCCTCTTTTTATCTAGCTTTTTCACAAATTCTTCTGCCTTAACTTCCGGCGGTCGTTCCATTTGGCCCTCAACAAATTGGCAAACAATGGGTTCTCCCCATAGGCACAGATGATTGGGCACCTTGAAGCTGAGAAAGTAATAGGGCAGCTCGTTTGGTGCCAAGTGCAGTGGAACTTCAGGGGCTTCCTCGACAACGGTACTCCGCTTCATATCTGCACCGATTCCCCATTTGGTAGAGCTCCTGCTGGATTCCCGCTCCTTCGATACGTCTAGAATATTCACCGACTTCCGTAGTAGGCGTCCATCCTCATGGAGCGTTATATTAAATTTCTCAAAAGCGGTATGTTTGGCTTTTCGCACAAAGACCAGTGAGATTATGCCACCTATAATGATGAAACGACGCAGGCTCACCTATTAAAAACTATCAATTACGAATAATCAAATAGTTACCAATTTCTTGTGACACATACCTCGGATGGCAGTAGGTTGATATTGTCCGGATGGAAATATCTGTTAAAGAAGTCAGAGCAATCCCTTTTCTCGTGTGCCAGAAATATCTTGAGTGGATCGGGAAACATGCCATCTGGCAACTCTTGTGGCATTTTTGGCGGGCTTGGAATCTTTATCTTTGCCTTGTGATGTTTCTTTTGTTCTTTTGCTTTGGCGTCGGCTATAAAACTGGGAAAACGCTATGTATTACGACTATGTGACTTTATTTCTGACCCTATTTATATTTACGATATGGCCTCATTGTAAGCCCGCATTTCCGATTCCATTTGGGCCACTAGGTCCTCCTGTATGTCCATCTGGGCCATCCATTCGCTCATTACACTATCTCCTATGTCCACCAGACCGCAGTTTGGGCTCGAAAAACTATCGATGGCCAGCTCAAAGCTCTTGGCCAGATGGGAGAGCGGATCGAAGAAAGTGCGCACACACCGCAGTGTAAGATTGTCGCAAAGCACACTCAGCGGCAGTTGAATAGTCACACCCACGCAGTTGAGGTCCGAGCACATTACCGGTAGCCTTAAAATAATCATTAATGAATCTTCAGGTACTCGTAGTCCCATTGAGTCGATGCATTACTTTAAATAATTGAAACGAATGGGTACATCCTGCAGTCCCCATATCTCCAGGTCAAAGTTGCTGCACTTATAGCAGTAGCATGACAAGATACAATCCTTGTTCCTACGAGATAGTTGCAAAGTTTCGATCAAAACGATTCAAGAAAATAGAAATTCGCATGACCCTACGTCATCAAGGCTTCAGGAGAACAGACCACGCGATAGGTCAGCTTGTCAAAGAAGCTTTCAATTTCCCCATAAAGTTCATTAGGAATCTACACGCAAAACTGAAACAACTTGATTCCTAGAACAGTAGATCTAATACACAGTGCGTTTTTACCTTATCCAACTCCAGGACTTGAAATGTTGGCAGACGCACGAGCTCATCATCGTTACGGAGAACTCTCTCCACTCTTTCTATGGTTGCCAGGATACGTTGCACTGTTTCATCGTAGAGCTGTCCTACGTTGGGCCTTGACTTTTCCAAGTTCTTGCGGGTCATATCGCTTCTATCGGGTGCTTGAGAGAGTAGACTACCCTCGTCCACAGAAAGAACCCAGCTTACTTCATTGGCGCAGGACTCTTGCTCCAAAAAATGAAGCTGGAATAGGAATCTTCGAATTTCGGCAGGACGACTGGGATTGGGCAATCCATCACAGGCCAAGTAGCTATTCCACTTGTCGTTAGACAACTTTTGCTTCTGAAGCTCCTTGTGCTCTTCGATGGCATCTGGAGAAAATAAACATGCGCAAATTCGACATACTTTACAGATAAAAATACTCTACCATCTATAAAGGCTACACTTGTCCTAAGATCCGCCAAACGCTGCATATATGTATTTCTGCGGGCCATCCACGCTTCCTCCGAAAGAAGTTCTACTGTGGGTTTTTGGGAATCCGCGTCCTGGTTTTTCTTTTTAACCATTTTTTAAAAAAGTTTTTTTGTGTATTTTGTATAAGTGTATCTGTGTCAGCTGATAAACGTAACTGACAGCAAAAAGATTTTCTAAAAATGACTGTAATCCGACAATATGAATCATTGTAAAATTTATGCAGAAATCTTGACAGTCCTAGGAGTAACTCAAAGGACGAATCTCATTCAGAAGCCTTTTAATATAGACGAAAAGCATCGCGTCCTTATTGGAACCCTCTAGGGAATGGGGATTAAGCGAGTAAATGGCCTGCCCAAAGTCATTATAATTCTGAGTTAGGGAATTGTTAGTACTACGCCTAAGAAGATAAAAAGGATATTCACGTTAACGTTCCGCCAAGTATCCTCGTAACGAAGCTTGACCACGTTCACATCATCCGAACACATCTCGGAGATCTTGACAAAGGTTGTCTTCTCGGGTGTAATGCGCATTGTAACCTCCGAGTAGTCCGAGTTGTCCTTAGCTATCTTCATGTCCATGATGATGTCCCGGCGTTGGGCCAGGCGGTTCCAGCTGGAGCGGTAGAATTTCATCAGCTTGCATTGCAGCGCCATGGTATTGTAGGTGTGCAGCTCCGTGGCAATGTGCTTGATGGAGAAGTAGCCATTTTTGATGTAATAACTGGCATCGTTTTCGGCAAAAATGTTCAGGTTCTTTTCAATGAGCAACTGGAAAAGGAAAAATAGCACTAAAAAAAAGGTTAGAAACTCCACACAAGGCTACCTTTCTCAATTCGCGAAAGTCCGAGATGGGCTCGACAAAGTCCAAGTACTTGACCGGCTTGGCAGTATACCCTTTAACCAGATCAGTCACATAGCCCCGCACTCCCCGGGCTGTGATGTAGAAGAACATTCGCACGTGGAATGTGTCCAGACTGAGCATGATTTCATCTGGACTGTATGGGTTGGGATTTTATACAAAAATGCACACAAAATGCCCTTAGGATGCGTAGACCACGTACTTATCCTCACTTGGCTGCAGACACCAATCGCGGAATGGGAAGTGCTCGTACCGCTTGAAGGCCAATCCGAAAATACCCAGCCGATCCGTTCTGAAAGTAAGTGTGTTTTTCTCCAGATCTATCTGTGAGTCCATGATGTACTCCTTCGTCCAGTGATCCAGCCATATGGGAGGTTCAGTCTCCAGAAGACGAATCCTGTCCGTATCGTCAAACCTGGATGACTTTCGGGTTGATCGCCGTTTCATCATGGAACCACTCCTCCAATGCCTGCTCTTCGAAGCCCTTGGCATGTCCGTCTTAATTTCCAAATTAGTACTTTTAAGATTCAAATCTGATTCACTTATGGTAATCATTATATCTGAGGTATTTATTTTGGTTTTAGCTTCTAAGCCACCCCTTTTACCATTTACATGTGCAAAGGACGACCTATCCCTAAAACTAAAAGCACTTGATCTGCCATCCACATTTTTGTTCTCCGACTTCTCCGCCCTTTTCTCGGACTTCTTCGATTTTTGGACATCAATTTGATCCAGAATTTCCTGCGGCCTCTGCAAGTATTTTTCCTTGATTGTCTCCAAAGTGGACACTAGTCCACTAGCCGTGGCTGTATTCCCAGAATGGATGTATGGAAAAAAGTCAGCAGAGTAGAAGTCAATGACTCCCGCCTTGTTGAAAATGGGATACGTCCTCTCCGGGCGATCCTGCGATTCATAATCAAAGTAGCTTTCCGCTGGTGTCTTAGCCTCTACAGCCGTTTCGGTTTCAGGCCTTTTTACCAGGCGGTTTGGCTTTGCCTTTAGGGCTTCGGCTGTTATATGGTCTTCGATAAATTCGCTTGGGAACTTAAACGAGGAAATTATGCGAGGCAGACACATTTTCTCCAGCTTGATAATTTCTATCGCATTTAACGGCTTGTCCAGGTAAAAATCCGTTATCATTTCTCCCCTGGGCGGAAAATTTCCATAGACAATACTCTGCTTTAGAAGTGATTTCAGAGGTGGTGAAAACTGATTGGGCAATGTCGATCGCACACTGCTGCCCTCCCTTTTGCTTAATTCAGTTGATATACGTATGGGCGAAAGTACATTCAGGGTTACGAGAGTGGCGCCATCTGGAGTCCGTGTTGGGGTCTGGAGCTCCTTTAGAAAGTGGCACACCTCGGGCTTGCCCCACCTGCATAGATCTGGTGGCAACTGGAGGGTGACCACAAAAAACGGCAGCTCATCATCTTCCAGTTTCATTTGGGAATTACCCAGCGTCATTCTGGTGTACTCGGTAACGCGGGACTTTCGAGCATCATTTTTGGCCACCACTTGGGGTATGATCTCCAAGACGCGACCCTTCTCGTGCAGCACTATGTTGAACTTCTCAAATTGCGTTTGATCAGGTCGCCGCACGAACGAGATGTTATAGACTCCGCCAACAATTATACACTCCCTGAGGTTAATCTCTTCAGATGTCAAACTGAGATTATCTGGATGGAAATAGGTCTTCAGGAACTTCTTGTATTGATCCTCTTCGCGAAACAGGAACTCGTTGAATATCTCGGGATACATTCCCGGGGGCACAATGGGCACTGTCTTCGGTACCTTGGGGATAACTATCTTTGGACGCTTGTCACCATCGCCGCCCTTACCAAACTTCTCCTCCTTGGCAGCCTGCTCGGTTCGTTCGGCAATGAGCTGCATCAGCTCCTCATACTCCTCCCTCCGCCGATTCATGTTGCTCAAAGTCTCCTCCTGGATATCGGTTTGCATCAACCACTCACCAACCACGGATTCCTCCATGTCGGTGAGTCCAGCATTGGGCATGAAGGCGCTGTTGACCGTCGAAGGCTCGTAGCTTTTGGCTTGCGGCGAGTGGTGGTCAAAACTGGTGTGGACACAGCGGATGGTAACACAATCCCACAGAGCACTGAGGGGCACCTGGACCTTGACGGCCGTTTCCTTGAAGTCGACCATCATTAGTGGTACTCTGCAAGGGAGAAGGTTGAAAACTACCATTCGGATACGAGTTATTGGGGGACATACTCCAAGTGCTGAAACATTATGGGAACGTTGTAAAGACCCCAGAGGTCCATGCGCCATAGATCACATGAGTGGCTCCACCTAGCCACTATTTCATTAACGGATCTTAAATGAGATTTTAAATATATTTAACGCACATGGCACATAAAACACCTACTTCATATAGGCCTTTTGCATGCGCAATATGCGGTAAGTAAGTCGATCAAAGAGGCTTTCTATCTCCAGCTGGACATCTCGGTAGACCTGTGAGTAGCTCATGGGATTAGTAGCTCTTAACTTGGATATCCACCCACTTCCATGAGATCAGTCTGCACACTTTTATACATGCGCTCCATTTCCACCTCATTATCCAACAGAATATCCACCTGCTGCAGTACGTCCATGCATTTCTTTAAATTACTCTCGAAATAAGAGCCAGGATCATCAACAGCGGTCCTTTGCAACACTGGTCGCGTTAAGTCCTTCTGGTAAATATTTTGCGTTAGAATACTGCGCTCGTCCACCCCCATCGTCCAGTCAATCGAGTTGTTCGCTTCGATTTCTTCGAAGTGACGAATTTTGGCCAGGAAAGTGCGAATCTCGATTGGGGATCGCACCTTGGGCAATCCATCACACCGAAGGTACTGATTCCAACGCTCCTGATTCGTCCGCTCCTCCTGCAGCTGTCTGAACTGCTGGAGACACTCTGCAAAGGGGATCCCGGTTTGTACCAACTCTCTTTAATTCGACCCATACTTTACTTCTGAATGTAGCACAGGCGACTGCAATATCGTGCACTCGGATGGTGTAATTCTTTTGACGCTCCATCATTTCGGCCTCGCTTATCATAACCGGTGCATCCGTATACGCTTCCTTACCCATCTTAACCTTTGTGACCAAATCACTGGTATTAGTACCTACTCAATAGTCTTTGGTGTTTTTATTTGTGTGTATATTTTTGTAGGTTTTTGGTTGAGTACATGTATACATCTGAAGGGTGAAACGAGGATTGTGTAGACAAAAAAGTTGGGTTTGTTTGGGTTTCAAATGCATTTTTATCAAGAAAAATTCTTGATTTCCCTATCACTCTAACAAGAAACACCATATATTTCAATGCTCTATATATTTTACTCAAGATTAGGTAGTATAGATGTACAAAATATATTGAAATCCTACGAAAAGCTTAGAAGACGTATTTCTTTGAGCATGCGAGTTACATAATACAGCAGAATAGAATCCTTATTTCGCACTTCCGTGGCATTCGGCACCATCGAGTTTATAGCCTGATGCAGATCCGTAAAGTTCTGTAGTTTACATTATAAGCCATCCACATACATTCAATAATCAAGAGAAGTACTTACGCCGATGTTTCGCCAAGTGTTATTGTAGCTCAGCACAATAACATTCACCTTATCGGAGCAATTCTCTGAAATCTGGACAAAGGTGGTTTTCTCCGGAGTAATGCGCATTGTGACCTCGGAGTAATCGGAGTTATCCTTGGCGATCTTCATGCCCAAGATGATATCGCGTCGCGGGGCGAGGCGATTCCAGCTCGATCGGTAGAACTTCATCAATTTACAATGGAGCGCCATTATATTGTAGGTGTGCATCTCGAGTGCCATGTGCTTCATGGAAAAGTAGCCGTTTTCGATATAGAAACTAGCATCGTTCTCGGCAAAAATATTGATGTTCTTGCTGATAAATAACTGCAGAAGGAAGCATTTTAGATAGGAATACCCCCATTGTAGGCTTACCTGGCGCATTTGCCGAAAGTCTGATATGGGTTCCGCAATCTCCAGATATTTAACCGGGTTGGCCGTGTAACCTTTGCTCAGATCCGTCACATAGCCCTTAACTCCCTTGCAAGTGATGTAGAAAAATATGCGGACATGGAAGGTGTCCACGCATAGTATGATTTCATCAGGGCTGAAAACAAAGGAAAGTGAGGATATGGGTGGATTTGGATCTTTGCAAACGCACTTTTCCTCATTTGGCTGCATCGACCAATTGCGAAACGGAAAATGCTCGTACCGCTTGAAGGCCAATCCCAAAAGTCCCAGGCGATCCGTCTTGAACGTAATTCTATTGGTTGCTCTATCGATTACGGTTTCCTTGATGTACTTGGTTGTCCAGTGGGTGACTTCCACTTCGTTCATCTGATCAGTCATTGCTTGGGATTTTTCTGAGGCGACACTAGCTCGATCCGCCCTAACACTTAGCCGGATTCTGTCCCCACTCCTAGACATTTTACGCCTTCCTGTCTGCCCATCTGCTACATCATCCTCCTCCTTTAGGCCCAATTTTTTTTGCTTCTGTTTCTTGTCCTGCTCGTCGGGCTGAACCAATAGGTCGAGGGGTTTTTCCAGATACTTGGATTTAATGTTGTCAAATGTTTTCAGAACTTCGAGCGCAGTCGTGGGGTTAACAGGACCTTGTGCCGACTCATCGAAAGTTGCGGGGTTAACAGGACCTGGTTCCGCGTCGTCGTAAGGAATGGGATATCGGATGGGATCCACTTGTGGAAAGTAGGGGAACATGCGTTCCGGAGTCTTCTTCTGGGAATTATAGTTAAAATCCAATATTTTAATTTGACTAACGACTTCCTCTGCACGTTTGACCAAAGCCTTTGGGCCCTGTTTGGAAAATTCTCTTTTTTCATCCTGAAATTCCACGGGAAACTTAAACGATGAAATGATCCGGGGTACGCAATGTCTTTCCAGTGTTCTGATTTCCAGGTGGTTCAGTTTTTTCTGCATCTTGAAGTCCTCTATGGGAACCTTGACTGCTGCAACCGATCCGACCTTACTCTGTCTCAGGAGTGTCCGTAGACTAGGTCGAAATACGTTTGCAGAATCTCTGGAAACTGCACTGCCCAAATTAAGCGTACTCCCCCTACCGGCAAATTCCGAATGCCTAATGACACTTTGCTTGGTCGGCACCCAGAGGGATTCGCGTTTGTAGTCAGCCGGAACGAAATCCTGCTCCGTCATGAAATGGCAAACCACGGGCTCACTCCATTTGCAGAGATCCGCGGGCACTTGTAGGGTCACGATGAAATATGGAAGTTGGTCAACTTCCAGCTTGATCCTAGTGCCCCGGTAGGTCTCCCTGGTTTTCCTGGCTATACTCAAGCTCCGTACCGTATCCGTCTTAATGTCGGCCTTCATTTCTGTCAAGATGTGAACCACCCGTCCATCCTCGTGCAGGATGATGTTGAACTTCTCGAACTGAGTTTGATCAGGTCGTCGGATGAACATAATGCTGTAAATACCACCCAGCATGATGTGCTCCCTCAGATTTATCTGAATGAAAAAGAAATGGATATTTTGAGGCTTATATAGTTATCAGCTTGTTTTACTCACTTCGAACGGCTGCATATCCAAATGCCTTGGATGATACACCTCATCGAGATAGCCCAGGTACTGGCTGTCCTCCATTCTTAGGAAGTCTTCATAGATGTCTGGAAACATGCCTGTGGGAACCTCCGGAGGTTCCTTCGGCGCCTTTGGAATTATGATTTTCACCGCCTTGTCGGGATCAGTTTGCTTAGCCGCCTTGGCTGCCTGCTCCGTTTTCTCGGCGATGATCAGCATCATTTCCTCGTACTCTCGCCTCCTGGTTAACATCAGACTCAATGTCTCCTCTTGGATTTCGTGCTGCATGTGCCACTCGTTGATCACCGACTCCTCTATGTCGACTATCCCGGCGGTGGGATAATTGAGCGATGCTTTAACGGCTGTATCGAAGCTTTTGGCATTTTGCGAAATGTTATCAAAATCCGTGTGTAGGCTGCGAATAGTTACGCAATCTGTAAGAACGCTCTTCGGTATCTGCACTTCCACCCTCGTGGCACTAAACTCGGCCAGCATTACTGGCAATCTAATAAATATTCGGTGTTTTTACTAATTCAGAAAAGTGCATTCCTTTGGGTGTTACTTACTCCAGCTGTTCAAAAATAATTGGCACATTTCGCAAGCCCCACAAATCCATTCTCCAAGGGTTACAACTGTAGCGCCACACAGCAACCTGACCATCCTTGGATCTAGGGAATATAGAGGTGGTCAGACAATAAGCTATCCATTAGATGGGTGTGTACTGACTCCATATAAGTGTCTTGCATTCTCAATACTCGATAGGTTAGGCGATCGAAGAGGTCACCAATTTCCGTCTCGACTTCGGCGTAAACCTATAGTGAGTGGGCTTCCAGTTTATCTGAGTGATCTTAACTGCAAAAACCTACTTCAATCACATCCTTCTGCCGCTTTTCTGACATTCGCACCATTTCAGCCTCGTTGTCCAGCATTGCATCCATTTCCTTCAGTGCATCCAAGCACATTTGAACATTCTGGTCATAGTGTGTGCCCGGATTGTCCTTGTTGAGCATCATCAAACGCCGGGTCCTGTCCACCCTGAAGATATTCTGATTCAATATGGAGCGTTCGTCCACCGACAAGGTCCAGTCCATCGAGTTTTGCGTTTCAACGTCATCGTAAAACCGTATTTTGGAAATAAATGTTCGTACTTCGACGGGCAGATAGGGACGCGGCAACCCATCGCAACGCAAATGGTGCTCCCAGTGCTCCCGGTACATTCGTTCCACCTCCTGATCATAGAAGTCGCTCTGGGCACCTGCATCCCAAGGTTTTACAATTCTGCACAAATGTAGTTTTTCGTCCATTAATCGCTACTCACCCTTGACTAAGTCCGCACTCACTGTGAAATCATTGAGGCGGCTCATGTACTTGGCTTCCCGATCCATTACTTCATTTTCGGATATCAGAGGAAATCGGAGAATCGGATCCGCAACGGCCTTGACCGCGGGGGTACTTTTTCTTTTTACCATTGTTATATCGTATTTTATATCTCGGTAATGGTCGGCCTATTCCCTTCCCTTCGGCAGGGGAAGTTTGGACCTACTGATTTTGGCAAGAGTTATTTATAGTAGCTACTCTGTGCCTACTTGTTCCATTCATAATAAAAGCATTATAATATTATATAACATCGTTAAATATATATAAACTAAAATAGTGTTCAAATTTATAATGGGTATTTTTTATTACCTTAGTTTCAGAATTTCATATGCCTGTGTTTAAGTATTACAACATGTTATGCATAGAGTATGCAGTAGGGCTTAATTTAAGATTAATTATAAAATTTACCTATTGTCATACTTACTTAAGACAGATTGTAAATAAAAAGAGAAGAAAAAAAAAATATTTACAGTGGTGGAAAAAATAATAGAAACAAGAATCGCTCCTGCATGTAAAACAAAATTACTAATTAATATATGTATGTACGAAGTGTGTGTGGATAAACCGTTAGCACATAAGCCAATTTAGTGAATTGAATGCCCCGTCGATGCTCAGCAGTTATAAGAAATAAAGGATATACCACTAAATATTAAAATTACAACTATTTTTATAAGATAATTCATAATAATTACGTTTTTCTTAGTTTTAAGAGTTTTGTTTCTATTATTTTTTCCAAGCGCCAAAAATTAAGTTAATTATTTTTAGTTAATATAAAGATGAAAAAAATATTTTTGTTCCTTAATGTGAAATATACTTATATATGAATTTAAAAAAATAAAGATTAAAAAATATTACTTTCAATCAATGATTCAACCAACGTGTTTCTATTATTTTTTCCACCACTGTATATATATTCCTGTGTAAAGTAAAAATGCTCATTTCAACAAACAGTAAGATTTTCTCCTCTGGCTGAGATCCAGCAGCTGAATAATCCCATAATCTAATGGCAAACTTTGGCCGCAACTTGGCCAACTAGGTGGATGTGGGTGCGACGGACCGCCCCAATAAAGAGAAAAACGCAACTCCCCACTCCGCACAGCCGAATCTGAAAGATTTATCTTGGCCTTTGCTGCATTCGTGCCAAGAAAATGGCATATCAACCTGAGAGTGGAGAAAGTGTAGATGCAAAGCCGGGGATAAGAGCCAAAGTCGAGTAGACTCAAAGCCAACAGCCAAAAGGCACAAAGACAATAGCTCGTTTCCAATAAATTGATTAAATTTTATGTTGCATTGTGGGCTCCATTTACATACGAAGAGCATGTTACGTGGCATGTCAGGCCCGACGACCATCGACATGTCTGATCGATTACATTGATGAATGAATTTCAACAAGCCGTTCCAGCTTTGCTGGACGTCAAAGGAGCAGGACGACGACGTGGACAGAGTCTCCTCCACAGGCAGCAGCATTCCACGTCCGCCAAAGCCTGGATACGTAGATATGTGGATATCTGGCATCTGGCTTTGTTTATTTGTTGCAAGTTGTCTTTTATAAATAAATGTTGATCCCAACATGCAGCCATCGCAGTTGGTTACCAATTTAATGAAGTCGGCCCGGCCAAATTGCTTTGCATTTCATTCGCCTTTAGTGGCCAATAGTTTTGACACCTTTACCCTTAAGTGGGCCCCTACTTACTACTCAATATCAATTGATCCCCTTTTTCGTCTTGGGCTAAAATGACGAGCAAATCACTTGGCTGCCATGCAATCATTCAATTATAATTTGCAGCCAGCGAACGAGTTGCAAGGTCTACTGCGAAGTCACTCCGCAAATAACAACGATTTCGTATTTCCAACAATTGGATGACTTGCCACGTAGCTCTACGGATTGTTGCAACTGGCAACTGGCAACTGGCAACTTGCAACTTGGCCAGCTAACGAGTTCGGCCAGCAATTTTCGTCCCCCAATCGAATCGAATCCAATCCGCGGCGATCCCAAATTGCTAGCGCGCAACTAAATCGAAATAGAAGAGCTAGTCAGCTTCCCGCTCCGGGCAAAAATAATTGACATCTGTATAAGTCTGCCATTTGAGCTGGCGGAGTCGGGGCAGCCGGAGGAGCACTGGATAACAAGTGGCCAAGTTGTGCTGTCCGCGAGTTTGTCGTTGTCTGCCAGCCGGTCTGTCTGTCCATTTTTCACCTGCACTCCGATTGAATTTCAGCTCTGATAAATTATACCTAAGGTGATGCAGTCGCACATAGTGGGAAAGATCCATATATGTGCAGCTATATTACCGAAGAATTTTAGCTAATGCGGAACCTAACAGCTATCAACTCATTAAAGGGTTACTTTTTTAGCACTTATACACTTTTTATTGCAAATTATAATGCATTTTATTAACTCATTTTGGTAAGAAAGAAGAAAATATAAGTTGAAGAGAGGAAGCCACTTAGTGACTTGCCCCAATGACCGGTGCACCGGTGGACCTGCCCCTTAAAAATTAGGCGGCGCTTTCTAATCGATGTCAAACGGTGGCCGGCAAGATGTTGGCATGTAAATGTTGACAGCAACATGTTTACCGTTCGCCGCTGTTTAACTTGGTAAGACACCCCTCCCCTGCCCCTAATCGCGTTTTAACAATGTGAAAACTTTTGGCATTTACATGAGAATTGTAAGCGCAAACAATTTGGATTTTTTGTATCTTTTCCCCTTTTAGACCCAAAAACACAGTATGAGCGTAGAATTTGTCCGGCAAAAACGAGATGCAGCTGCTGTTGCTGTTGTTGCTGTTGCTGCTGTTGTTGCTGTGGCCATTGTTGTCCGTCTTGATGGTTGAGCAACAAATTGAGTCTAATTAATTTTCAGCAAACTGCAAAGACTGAATACATTGTCTTCCTTCATAGCCGAAGAAAACTCGGGGCTAATTAGCATTTTCAATAGAATGGTTTTTAAAGGAGTTTCTCTAACCGAAGGTTAGACATCATAATTTTATTTCAAAAATTTTACGACTTAAAAAATTTGTTTTTACTTGTTTGCAATCAATTATAAAAAAAGGCTTTACCCAGGAGGATTAGATTAAAATAAGCATTATTAAATATTTATAAATAATAATTGTTTTTAATAATTTTTAATAAAATAATAAATAATAAATATTTCCTTGTATATAAACCAATTCCGAATATTTGGTTAAACAATAAAAAAAACGTATATAACGAAACAATTGTGACTTTTATCTACAAATTTCTGCAAACATTTAAAAGTATTCCAACTATTATTGCAGGGTATTAAAAGTGCTGCTATGCACCCTCCATTTGACCACATCCATTGGTTCGTCCTAACGGCAGATAAATGTTTGAACAATGCACTGCCAAAATGTAAAAAATACCACTGCTGGAAATAAATAGTCGAGTTCTCGAAAATCTATGCAAAGCGACATCAAAAGACGAAACGGCCATTTATCTAATGCCTTAGATATGCAAATCAGCCAAATTCTTGGCTTTGCCGGCTCCCAGTTGATTGGCTGCCTCCATAAGCTCTGCTTAATTGTTGCATTTCCATAAAATGTGATCTTTGTTCGGGCGTTGCAGCTACCTCCAAAGGAAAGTGAGCGTGGAAAGTGGAAAAATGCATATACATGCAGCCGTTTATGACGGCTTTTTGGGTCTCTGTGTCAGCGAAGGGCTCATTTTGGTGGGAACTAAACTTGGCTGCCACTCCAATTGAAACTCGAATTGGAGCGAAACAGTTGCGGCCGCCAAATTGACTTCTCGTGTCGACTGTTGCATGCCACACCCAGGCTGCGCAGATATCGCCTGACAGCCGGCTATCCGCATTCGCAATCCCCATTCCGGCATCCGGATAGCTGGCCCATGGTATCGGTATCTGGCTTATATGCTGCACTGGCCAATGGCCAACGCCGGTGGCGAAAACTCAGCACTCGACTGGTCTTATCAATGGACAGGCGACGCTGACAGGCGACAATTTGCATGGCGACCAGGGGATCTGAACTGGGATCAAAGAACACTCATTACGAATGCGACAATCGCCAACGGACGGTTGCAAGTTGCGAGTTTTGAGTTTTGAGTTACCAATGTGATGCACTGAGCGAAGTAAGTAACCAAGAAATACTTTCAATTTGACTTGATTGTAGCTTAAGTCCCAAACAATTAAGAGTAATATATTTGCTATACTATCCAGTCAACTTCCCTTATATCATTTTAATTTAATTAAATTATTAAGTAGGTTGCAAGTTGCGAGTTTTGAGTTACCAACGTGATGCACTGAGCGAAGTAAGTAACCTAGAAATACTTGCAATTTGACTTGATTGTAGCTTAGGTCCCAAACAATTAAGAGTAATATTTTTGCTATACTAATATCCAGGCAACTTCCCTATATCATTTTAATTTAATTAAATTATTAAGTAGGTTGCAAGTTGCGAGTTTTGAGTTACCAACGTGATGCACTGAGCGAAGTAAGTAACCTAGAAATACTTGCAATATGACTTGATTGTAGCTTAGGTCCCAAACAATTAAGAGTAATATTTTTGCTATACTATCCAGTCAACTTCCCTTATATCATTTTAATTTAATTAAATTATTAAACAGAGAATTTCCAGCACTAAGCTTACAAAAGAAAAAAAAATAAAAGAACCAAGCCAAATACAGCTGAAATCGATGAGTTTTTTTGTGTTAATCTGTAATGTAGGAGTTATCTTTATAGGGTATATACATCAGTCAATGTCGTGACACTTCCGAGCTGCCTTCCTAAGAACAAACAAATATCTTTCTTCGATATAGAGCCGTTCTTTCTACTTGTCTGGAAAATAATAATTAACTTTACGATAATATTAAGTGGTAGCAAGTAGGTTGCCCTTATAAAGAGCTACCTACTTGGGTAACCCCATCAAAATGTTTTTGCCACTCTTCTTGGTAACTATTCTCATAAGTGGAGGCCTAGGAACTCCAGTCCGTTCTCGTCCCGAATATCAGAAGGACGATTATTATACCTATGAAGAGATACAGGACTACCTAAAAGGACTAGCCGAAAGCTATGCTAACCGAGTGAAATTGACAAACGTTGGAAAATCCTACGAGAACAGGAACCTGACCACCATTACCATATCAAACGGAGATGGGCGGAAAGACAAGAACGTAATCTTCATAGATGCCGGATTTCATGCCAGAGAATGGCTAACTCATACGACAGCCCTAAATGTCATTGATAATTTGGTTGTGAACTTCGAAGAGAACAAGCGATTCCTGCAGGACTATGACTGGATTATTTTACCCTTGGTGAACCCAGATGGCTACACATACTCGCGATCCGGAAAGAAGTTCACTAATGAAACAATTTACTGCCCACTCGCCTATACTGAAGATCATGAAATCAAATGTTGGCGAAAGAATCGCGAACCCAACAAATACCGATGCATTGGCACCGATCTCAACCGCAACTTCGGACATGGATGGGGTAAAGGAGACGCCTCGAGTGATCCCTGCGATTCGACATTCAAGGGTCTTTCCAAATTCTCGGCATCGGAGTCCCAAGCAGTGAGAAGAGTTATTCTCGACCTGGCAAACTCCGGACGTGGCGTTTTGTACCTTTCGCTTCATTCCGCTGTGGGCAAAATTCTGTATCCATGGGGATCCGAAGAGTAAGCATTAGAAAATATGTGTCTTAGAGCAGTTCTAAATCGAACCTGTTTCAGAATCAAGGCTAAGAACTACAAGGAGCATGAGGAAGTGGTCCAAGCAGGCATAGATGCCATGGCCAATGGAAACTTTCAGTTCCCCTCAACTTACAAACAAGGTCCTTCCTATAGCCTCTACCTTGCTGGTGGAGACTCCAGTGACTATGCCTATGAAGTTGGATTTCCCCTATCACTCACTTGGGAGCTTCCGGAACTACGAGGCAACTTGAATTTCAGATTCCATCCGCCAACGTATCTTATTGGGGAACTTGTGGATGAAACCTGGATTGGTATAAGCGCCGTTGCAGAAAAAGTCATGGAGAAGTATCCAAAGCAGTGGAATTTTTTTAGGACACATGGCAAATATTGATAAAAATATATATTATGGTATTCTCTGGAATATCGGAAGTAAATGTTTCTGATGCTATTATTGATACGTTGAAGCAAAGCTATTTTAAAAAATGAAGAAAATCCATAAGCCAAGAAACATTTTTTCAGTGCCCCTGCCCCGCCCCCTAGAATAGATACTCCTTCGGTTAGCGGGGCGTATGAGTAATATCAGGTCATCATGGAAGCGGCAAGACATTGCCGCAGCTGCATTCCAGCCCGCACCAAGCCAAAACAAAATGAAATGCAAATTTTGAGTGCCCCATGCAGCTGGAACTGCAGTTGAAACTCGAATCGAAAATCGAGCTGGATGTCGAACGGAAAACTGGACTTGGGCGTGGAGTCCAGCGGGGAATGGAGATCGCAATGACGTGGCCGGATTGGTTTAAAATAAATGTTATTATTTCGATAAGTTGGCGTGTTTTTGCGGCTGTGCCCACATTTAATTATGCCACAAACCGGACAGCGAAAAAAGCGAACGGCAACCAAAATCAATATCACTTCGTGCCGCGTTTTTAATGAACAATTGTCGGGGCACACAGTTTTAGCACATTGTAAATAAGCAATTGAATTGCCGCTGGAGTGGCGTTGCAAGCTCTAAGTGAGTGGTACGAGTGCAGCGATATCTGCTCTCTGATCCCAAAAAATGAAGCAGAAATATAAAAGACACAGGCGCGAGCCTCTCGACAGTCGTCGCCCCCATTTGGGCTGCATTTTGCAGGCTGTTCGTTTTAATCAAATTCGCATTAACAACAGCAAAGGCTGCAACTGCAACAACTGCAACAACTGCAACACCAACTGCAGCAAATGCAGCAATTTTAGCGCAGCTGCAGCAAAGCAGGCAAGTCACAACTTTGTATGAGACACGCCAATAACTTGGCTCTCCAATCGGGTATAATGGACCAAGCGCTACCCTTGGGGGGTCCAGATGTGTATACCTATGAATACCTATTATTATTAAAACTAAATGCAGCCAATCTGGTATAAAGCTATACCATATATTTCCTCAAAGGCAAGTCTCGTGCTTGTATAAGAATTATTAAAGAAAGTAGGTATTTAAAGTATCCACAGCTTTTCCTATACAAAGTAATATCAGTAATATATCAGTAAAAATGTTGAAAATAATACCTTTACATTTTAGTATTAACTCTTGTAGAAAATAGCAGCAAATCGATAAAAGCTTTAAGTGACACTAGTTCGTAGGTGATAAAATTACTTTTCTGATTCCCGCATATCCAGCAATCCCTCATTATTTTGGCTCATAGTTTCATGATCGATGGTATCGTTCCTAACTGATATCTACCTCCACGGAACCAAGTTGGTCGATTGAATCGATCCCTGTCGACGTTCAGTTATGGATCTCTATAGTTTTTGCCTCGGTACACGCCCCAAAAAGCAAGAACAATAGTCGCCCGCTTGGACAAGTTACCAAAAATAGACCAAAGCCAACTGAAATGGGCCTGCAGCTCAGACGAAGAAAATGTTATGAACAAGCTCGGCGTGGTTAGTCGGTAACTGCCGATAATTGCTGTGGTTTTATGGTAGAGAGTAATTCTTACACATATATAGAAAATAGCTGAAGTGCAATGCGCTTTGGACATTTACGGCGATGGAAAAAACCGGACCGAAAGGCACCGATAATTGAAAATGTAGTTCGAATGCGTTTGGCGATAATTTGCATGCCCAAGGTTGACGCCTCTAATTGCAGGCAAAGAAATCCGCTGGGCGGTGCATCTAATTGCGGCTTATGCCGTTCCGAATGCAGCTTCGTTAAGCGGACCTGACAGTTATTGCAACGTGCCACGCCCCACAATAAACCCGTTCGCCTAGGACGCAGCACTTGGTCAGGCGGATACTGATAAGCCAGTTGGCCGGACTTGGCTGGTAGGTACATAGGTAGGAAATCGCGATTCGCGGCCGCATGTGGCAGTGCAATTTATGGGATCAACAGACCCGTTAGTGCCAAATTACAAATGGGCCTGTGGCAGCCAAGTGCACAACAGACGTGGCAATAACCAACAAGACATTAACCCTAAGCAGCCAGTCGCGGCGCATGCCTCGATGCCTCCGACGCCTCCGATGCCTCAGATACCCCGATGCAGCGATACCTCAACTGCCCGCATTCCTCCATGCCCCAAAGTCGGTGCCCCAGCTGCAGTGCGTCCTGGCCGCATATGCTCCATCGCCCAATAATTGCCAGCCTCAAATCTGCTGCCCGCCTTGCACTCGGCCAAATTTATGGCTAGCTGCATGTACAAGAACCAAAGGATATTGAACAAAAATGAAGTGGAAGGTGCACTTATAGCTCACTATTGGAGTATATAACAACTAACAAAATATTTAATAAATTATTAATCAGTTTTTTTAAAAAGCAGCAGGAAGTATATATACCTATGTACAAATTTGTTTTATAAATGTTCGTCAGTACAAATGAGATCTTTTCAGTTATTTTGGGTAAAAATCTGGAAAATCTTTTAGATCTAAGCCTGGAAAACGCAATGTGGTTAGTTATCAATATCTCTCAGAAAATTCCAGTCATATTTGCCGAGTGCAGTTGCACACAATCTTTGGCGAAGCCTGTGGCGATTTGGCCAGATACGAGTGCAGTTGCAGTTGCAAGTTCGAGCTGCGGCGATCCAGCGGATTGCCAGAACGTCAGAGCGACGGACGGGTTTGCTGGCCACAAAAGCATAAAACAATAAAGTTGGGCGCTGCGCAAAGAATAATCGCATAAATCATGCGGACTCGCGGCGGCGACTAAACTCCACTAACGGCAACGAGGCTAAAACTCCGTACCTCCGCAAGAAGCTTGAGCGGCACAGTGGCTATAAAGCGATTGGATTGTAGATATTGCTTGTGATACTGACACACAGATTGTGTGCTTAAAAATAAACTATTATTGCAGTATTTAATTTTACATTTCCTTACTGAAATTGAACCACTGAGGAGCATCGCTTAATGTGCAATAGCTTTGTAAAACATCCATGAAATTACGCGATTAAATAACCAGCATAAAACAGATTATACCAGTACTTTCGGAACTGTGTGATATACTTGCTCTGCCGATGTAGTCCCATTGATCCATAGAGCTTTACAAGTCCATGAGCCACAACTTTAGGATTCTAACTTAAGCTGTCGGCTCAGTGATTTTGGAAAATATGAAAACTAGATGGGCAGTGGAGCAGCGCTAATCCGCGTTGACATCTCGGCCGTTGTGCCTGAACCGCTTGGCCCACTGTGCCACAATGCAGCGGCAACACTTTTCTTGCCTTAAGCCAAATTTATAGCGATCTAAGTAGGTATAAAGCGCTCATTTTGTGGCAACAACAGCAAATGTGCAGCGACGACGACAGCGGCGACTTCGTTACGTTTTCGAGGAGTGGCCAACAGGAGTGCGGCTATTGTTTTGGCCAAAAGCCTCCAAGAGAAAACCCCCCGAATCTCCTTTATCTCCTGCTATTGTTTTTGCCTTTGTAATTTCTTTATCCCGTTGGCAGTTTGGCTCTCTTTGGCCAAGAACAATAGAAATGCATTGCACGAAAGCCGCCAGGAGAGAGCGGGCCAAGAAAGAGAGCTCAGGCTGAAGTTAAAGCCCAAAAACCTGCGGCTAGTCCAAAACCGTTGACATGCACAGGAAACAATTAGGGTACGTTCCTCAATCCGACAGCAATATCGTGGTGGTGCAAAACAATATTTCAGATTTCGATTTTTCGGATTTAATAATAACAATCTTCGTTAATAATAAAGGATCAAAATAAATAGTATTAATTAGATAATAAAAAACAATATTTGTATAGCACATAGATTTTTTTTTTTTTTTGTTTTAGCTTTTTATTTATTATTTAAAATCTGTAGCTCATAGATGATAACAATATATTTAATATAATTATATATTAACATATATATTTAATATAGGATATTTGCTTTGCTTATGCGGTAAATGTTTTCTCAGTGTTTAGAAAGCGGGCGCGGTTGCATGTGCAACCAAAAGGGGGCGGGTCGAAAGGCGGCTAAAATAGGGTTCCTACCTCTGCTCACTCGTGCGCGATTTAAAAAGAACTTCTTCCTGGTACTTTCAGTTCGTTGTGGTAAGCAGTTGGCCAACACTCAAGGGGACGGGGAGGGGGTCAGTGGATAACTGGGACAAAGTTTGGGCCAACCGAAAAAAGAATCCGCTTAAGTCACAGCACTACAATCAAAATCTTTGCAAAAAAGGTTTTTTAATTTCAAATGATCTTAGTTAACTTGCTTTTGGAAACATTTTTTTAGTTTATGGCTACTAAAGTTGTTCTGACAAGCACTTATATCTTCCTAGATGTTTGAATCCCCAATAACAACGAATTGATGACCAACAGCTTGGCCAAAGACAAGCAGGAATTCCTTTTATTTGATTAGCTCAGCGAGAAGCCCACACTCCCGGCTCGAACCCAAACAAATGGCTTTCTAATTCCGGCCAATGGGGGTCAGTTTGCACAACTTGGAGCAGAGAAAAATCGAGAAAATCAGCCATTAATCACTTGCTATGACAAAATGCAAACCAAGGAAATGGATCGAATCCTTTGGAGGGCGGGAGGTAAAAAGTGGGGTATCGGGGTGTTAGACAGGTCCAACTGGTTTAATGCCGCTCCATCGCCTGCTCCTCCTGCACGCCCCCCCATCCTTTCCAGCTCCTGCTCCTGCTCCTGCCACTCGGCTCATTATTATGCGCGCATTGTGCGTGGAAAGGCAACAGGAACTGGGCATTGCACATGGGCATAGGAATTTCAAAGGCCCAGGGCCCAGACCAAA